ACAGAAAGCAGTTGGAAGTTGAGTTAGAGAAAAGTTAGTTGCAGTTGAAGCTGTTGAGCGCTGAGATCAGCCTCGCAGGAAGCTGACTGAAAGATATCCACGCATCCCGATTCAACTTCTAACCAAGAACAATTTATTTTTGAAGAACGACTTAGACTCACAACACCAAAACAAGTTTTACGAAGACACCAAAAACCAGTTTCTTGAAAAACAATTTAAGATGTTAAGTCTCGCCTAACAAACACAAAGTGTCACGAATCCCTATTAGCTGTTTGGGAGAAAGATGCAGTCCTGTATTCAGCAACCAGATATAAAATATTGTCATTCTTTTTTTAACACATTTGAACTTTTCGAGTTGTTGATTTATTTTCTTTTACATATACTTGTGCGGTGCTACCTTTGGTCGGACTCGGCTTGCATTGCGGCCCGGCGACTGATTGATTTCGTCTACCTAAGATGAAATCACAACGTGGGTAGGTAAGACTAGAAATCAAAGCATTTACTTCGGTAACCAGACGTTGGAGGCGAGCTGGGAATGACAAAGCTGATACCGAATCTAACCAGATTCCCATCCGAATCAGCAAAGGGTTAGAACGTTACATTTGTTGCCGCGACCAATACCAAGTCACATTGGTCGTCACAGGACAAGACGGAGACGGGGGCAGAGAGGCACGGGGTGACGTCAAATTTCTTTCTTTCTTTCTTTCTTTCTTTCTTTCTTTCTTTCAAGCTTGGCTTTCTTCTGTTTTTGTCTTTTTCCTTTTCCTTTCTTTCTTTCATTTTTGTCTTTCTTTCTTTCTTTCTTTCTTTCTTTCTTTCATACATTTTCTCTTTCTTTTCATTCCTGTATTTCTGTCTTTATTCCTTTCAATTTTGTCTTCTTTCTTTCTTTCTTTCTTTCTTTCTTTCTTTCTTTCTTTCTTTCCCACCCAACATTTGTTTTTCTTTCTTTCTTTCTTTCTTTCTTTCTTTCTTTCTTTCTTTCTTTCTTTCTTTCCCACCCAGCATTTGTTACTTTGTTTCTGTGTTTCTTTCTTTCTTTCAAGCTTGGCTTTCTTCTGTTTTTGTGTTTTTCATTTTTCTTTCTTTCTTTCATTTTTGTCTTTCTTTCCTTCTTTCTTTCATTTTTCTCTCTCTTTTTTCTTTCTGTCTTTCTTTCTTTCATTTTTATTTGTCTTTCCTTCCTTCCTTCCTTCCTTCCTCCCTTCCTTCCTTCCTTCATTCATTCATTCTTTCTTTCTTGCCTTTCTTTCATTTGTGTCTTCTTTCATTCATTTTTTACTTCTTTCTTTCTTTCTTTCTTTCTATCATTTTTGTCTTTCTTTCATTCATTTTCTTTCTTCCTTTTATTTTTCTTTCTTTCTTTCATTTGTATTTGTCTTTTTCTTTCTTTCTTTCGTTTTTGTTTTTCTTTCTTTCATTCATTTTATCTTTTTTCTTTCATTTTTATCTGTCTTTTCTGTTTGTAATTATTGATATTTCTCTTTCGTTCTTCCTTTCTATATTCCTTCCTTTTTTCCTTCCTCTCTTTCTAGCTTTTTTTCATTTCTTTTCAGCGTTCTTATTTTTTGTTAATTTCTTTCTTCGTTCGTTCTTTTTCTCCCTTTGTTTTTTTTTAATTATTTTTCTTCTCTACTGTAAGGTTTTCGTTTCTCTATCACCTTTTCTTCCATTTTCTCGTCTGCTTCTCTTCCATTTTCTCGCCTGCTTTTCTTCCATTTTCTCGCCTGCTTCTCTTCCATTTTCTCGCCTGCTTTTCTTCCATTTTATAGTGCACCAGGAAACCCAAGACCTAACATAATAAAAAAGTAACAAACTCTATACAGGAGAAAAAATCAATTGAGAAAGTCGGATTTTTTTTTTCTCCAGAAGTATTCGTTCATGTGTTCACCTTAAAAAAGAAAAAAAACTGGGAAAAAGTTTATTCAAAGAAACCGACTTCAAACGTGAAGACAAACCGGGCGCGGTCATGTTAACGGTCGTTACATTCCACAAACCCCTTGACAATGTGAAGCAATGGGATCGCCTGCTTATGGAGAACGACTCTGACGTAAAGGGATTCAAACCAAGAGAGTTGGCTACATCCTGGTATTTTATAGAAAGTTGAATGTTTGACTCGGTCTAACATGACGTCATTTGAAACGGTGAAAGGGAGCAATATCACACCTGAAAATATGCATAAAATATTATTCGTTTTTTTCTTATGTTTAATTTTGCTTTCTATTACAAAAGACGCGCTGACAGAAATCACTAAGACTCAAGAATAACTCAAACAAACGTGAGCTTCGGACAATTTGTCCGAAGTTTATTTCCTGATATAAAACATTTTATTCTAAAATTAGAAAAAAGAATGCAAATATTCAACAGAGATACCTTCTAGGTTGAAAGTAAATACTCTGCTCATAATAAACAGTATTAACAACATTTACCGGCCGTAATTTCCGAGAAATTTCATACAAAATATGTGCCCTCCGATAGCAATAGAACCTGTGTCCTACACAGAACTGTCATATCGTCAGAAGTGTTATACCAGTGTAGCTACGAAGGAGAGTCTGGTTAGTAATGTCGATTTTACTGCTTTTAAATCACAAACTTACCATGATTTCTCTCGAGCGCTCATATCTGCTCGAAGCGTAAATTAACGTAAACAATTGACGTCATATATTATTATATATATATATATATATATATATATATATATATATATATATATATGAAATATATTAAGTCAGAAAATTATTTTAATATATTTTCTTTTGTTTGAACGTTATTTCTATAGATATAAATATTTAATGAAATGTTCGGTTTATAATAACCAGTATTAACAACATTTACCGGCTTGAATGTCCGAGAAATTTAAAAGAAAATGTGTCCTCCGACAGGAATCGAACCTGTATCCTACACGGAAACGTTTGATGTACTATACTATTTAGCTAAAGAGGAAGCGTATGGTCAGCAAGGTCGAATTACTGCTTTTAAACTACAAATTTCCCATGATTTTTCCCGAACGCTCATTTCTGTTCAAAGCGTATCTTAACGTAAACAAAAAACGCAGTATGGGTATGTTTAGGTCTGTGACTAAATATATATATATATATATATATATATATATATATATATATATAGGATCGAAAGCTCATAAATTATTGAAATAAAGTTCAAAGATATATATATATATATATATATATATATATATATATATATATATATATATATATATGCATGTTTCATTAGATAATATAGACAAGTTTTTGACTATTTTCTTTTCATGTGTAAAATAAATAGACAAAACTTGTCTATATTATTTAATGAAACATTCATCAATGAAAAATGCTGCCTAAACACACACAATATATATATATATATATATTTTTATATATATATATATAATTTCAGGATAATTCTTAACTTATTTAAGATGATCTTTGCCCTTTCTAACTTTCTCTCTTTCTGTCCTGGAGTAACATTTTCAAGTCGCTTTTTGCTGCTCTTTTGACTGTCCAAGTTTTCAGATAAGTCGTTTAAAGTAAGAGTCACTGAAAAAACTATTTGAGTTTTTCAGCTAGAAAGAGAACAGGTTAAATGAGCAATGCTGAGACGAAAAAGATCATTCAAGCCTTCAGGATGGTACCAGCATTCATACTTTGGCTTCCATCTTCAAAGATCATTCAAGAACGGCGAATAAGTTTAAAAATCTATAATATTCTATACCTGGCTACTTGTATTCGAGTTTATCCATCTACGAAGGTGTATAGCCAATCCCTTTTGCAGACGCTTACTTAGGAACATTTGTGTTTGTTCAACACCCCTCTACACACATACATGTATAGCTGGCAACTCGTATTCGAGTATACCCATCTCCTTGGGCAGTTAGCCAATCCCTATTGCAGACACTTGCTCAGACATATTAGAGGTTATTCAACACCCAGAGAGCCCACCTGTGGTTTATACTGCAACTATGTTGAGCAGACCTTAGTTACAGTTTCTGGGAAAGAGCGTGTTATCTAGCGTGATCCACAGTTTCAACAAAGCCATCACGCTCAAGTCCTCGGCCACGATGACTTGTGACTTCGTGCTAGGACAGCAATCGACGGCCCCCAAAGGACCCGTCTACTGAATTTAATTCACTTGATATGGTTTTAAGGCACTCTTCAAAGGAGTTGGACACTTGTATCGACCACGCCACTCTGATAACATCAAACAGTCTCCTTCCTGACAAGTCGACCATGGTCAGATTCGAACCCGAGCCTCAAGGTCAGAATTCGAACGTTCTAAACACTTGGTCACACACGCACACACACACATGGCGCGCCTACAAGTCGTTATGTGTCTGGAGAATTATAAAAATATCCCTCACTGGGAACCAACTAAAGGATGACCGCAAACATTAGCCTTGAAATAGATACCCTACCCAAGCTTAGCAAAACCTCTCAGAAGATGATGAATCTATTGATAAGAATTAACTCTCTGACCACTTAACGAAGAAAACTAGCCTAGCCACTCCCACAATAACGAATGTTATAAGGGACCATGTCTAAAAACACACGTAAACCAAGAGATAGCTTATTCCTAAAATTTCGCTTGAAGATGAAACGGGACTAAACACCACAATTCAACTTAATTTTAATAATTATTTGAATGGTTTCGGCTCTCGTTTTTGAAACATGAGAACTCTTATGTAGCGAAGGAATCATATTTTTAAACAAAAAATATTATAATAAAGCTCTACTACTGTATAGAGCACTGTCTTCTTAAAAATAAAAACAAAAATACTAAGGAACTCCGGATTATGCACCCAGCGTGTTCTTTTCTATTTTCTGCATACCTACGCACTATATATATATATATATATATATATATATATATATATATATATATATATATATATACGTTTTTTTTCACATATATCTATAAAAACCGTATAAATAAAGTTCATCTCTTGTCTTTATTCATATATATATATATATATATATATATATATATATATATATATATATATAATGGACTTATATAATTATCTATCTCCGTTTGTTCCCCTATCTATCTATCTATCTATCTATCTATCTATCTATCTATCTATCTATCTGTCTGTCTGTCCGCCTGTCTGTCTCTGTATCTATCTCAGTGGGCTCCTTAACTATCTATCAGTCTATCTATCTGTCTATTTCTCTTTCTCTTTTCCTATATATACATATATATGACAGCTCATATATATTTCCCCTTCTCCATTTGTTCGTTATCTATCTATCTATCTATCTCAACATGTTTCTATCTGTCTCCCTACTCATTGTTTATATATATATATGTATGTGTGTGCATATATGTGCGTATATATATATAATTATCTGTTTATATTGTGTATTTGTCTTTCTATTTGTAACAAGCACTGAAACCTGAGCGTTTATTTTAGAGTTCCAAATATAACAGCAGGAGAACATCTTTCCCATTTTAAAAATCAAATTCCGAAGCTGCAGGCAAAGTTTTGTCATCTGGAGAAATATCTTTTAAGTTCTTCTCATATTTCTTTCTTTCTTTCTTTTTTCTTTTTTTTTTTTTTTTTTTTTTACAAGTCCTTTCCTGCTAAATGGTTTTGTCAAATCGTATTAAGTGGTTTTGGAAACCAAATTTATTTGACAAACAAATCTTTACAAGATTTCTAGTCTTTGACTGCTTTTAGCTCGTATTAAAATTATATATACTGCACGAATGTCGACTTAACATTCACGGCTTTTATTGGACTTATTCGCTTAGTAATTACTTCCGCTTCCTCCCATCACGTGGCCTGTGTTCTAAAAACATTTCCGCTCGGACCAACATACACATTTTTGTTGTTATACTGAAAATATTCCGGCCGATTTACTCCTCCGCCTCCTTTCACGGATAGCTGCATTAGCCGAAAGGCAGCTTCATGCATTAACGTGTTGGCGAAAGTATAATAATTATGAGTTCAATCCTTGGCACGGGTAATGCGAAAAATTCATATATTTTAGATCAACTGATTCATTCATTTTTTACGGTTTCTCAACCCTTTGCAGTTTATTTAAATCCATAATCTTTTTGAGGTTTTCTTAGATTCTAAGAATGACATTTTGGCCGAGGCAATATTGGTTTAGTGATACAAGTATTACTAATTATCACATGACTGGGAAGTTGTGTTACGTTCTTACTTTTCTCAAGAGTATTTGTATTTATAACGAACCCAACTGGAATTGGAACTATTATCAATTCTATTGCACCACCCGCTCATCCACGAACGAAACCCCTGGTATTTTCAAAAAGTCACCCATCTATTGACCAGGATCGACGTTGCTTAACTTCGCTGATCGAACGAGAACTAGTGTTTCAACGCAATATGGCCTTAAACGAGAAACATTTTTTATTAGGACCTTTTTACACAAATGGACTCACCCAGTATATACATATACTACTGCTACGTAAAGACCCGGGAGACGAGAGCTTACAGAGGGTGGTGGTAACAGATAGACAGACAGACAGAGCGAACGTATCGAGCAAGCGTCACCGTGAGCGAGCACGTAGACTCCGTAAGAAGTCCTAGCGCGATACTTCAATACCAAAGACTGTATAGATATTTTGCTACTAACCCTCATTCCGGGAACTACTAACCTGCATTACCAGTTTGTATTATTACGTTAATACATTATTTTCCTATATTCATTCTTGGCGTTTGTTATTTATTGGTACCGGATTTCATCCCGGAATCCACAACAAGTTGGCGACGAGGATATCGAACTCATACGGGAAGAACAAAAAAAAAAAAAACAAAATTCTCCCTCGTCAACTTGGCGACGAGGACTTCGAACTCACACGGAAGAAAAAAAATTCTCTCTCGTCGGCCACAACAACTTGGCGACGAGGATATCAAACCCACACGAGAAGAACAAAAAAGACAAAATTCTCCCTCGTCAACTTGACGACGAGGAAATTCGAACTCACACAGGAAGAGAACAAAGAAAAAAATCTCCCTTGCCGACCACAACTTAGTGACGAGGAATTGGGACCTACACGGAAAGAAAAAAATTCTCTATTCTCACCACAACAGCTTGGACGACAAGAATTTGCACTTCTCGGAGTCTCAAAAACTAGCTATTTTCTAACAGATGTCGTTCTCAGAATTGCGTGTAATTAAAGAAAAAAAAGGTCGCTATACGAGACACGGCAAAGTGATTTTGTAGCATGACAATGCTAGGCCACAGGTTGCAAAACTGGTGAAAACCTAGTTGGAAACGCTATTCCACCCGCCGTATTCACCAGAAATTGTCCCGTCCGATTATCACTTGTTCCAATCGATGGCACATGGCCGGGCTGAACAGCACTTTCATTCTTCTGAAGATGCTGAAAAATGAATCGACTCGTGGGTGCTTAAAAGACGTGTCGTTTATCCGACGTGAAATTCAAATGCTGACAGAAAGATGGGAAAAAAGTAGTCGCTAGCTATGGACAATACTTTCAGTGACATCAGTCTTACTAATTTTTGTAAATAAAACATTATTTTTCATGAAAAGACAGCGATAACTAATTCAAAGTCTTAATAGATTTGCAAGCATTTTCTTTTTATTTTTGGCAGGGGGAGATAATAATTAATGATATAATGATACAAGTCTTACTAATTAATCTATAGCTGGGGGATAAGAGGTGGATTCATACCTTTCCCAAGGATATTTGCGCGTAAGTGAATACAAGGAACCTAACCGGAATTGGAACTCTGCTCTCCAATTAACAATTCTGAGCCATTATTCATTACACCACCCGCACATCCGCATTACAGCACGTAGTGTTCATATTAAAAGCAAGAGGGATATGAAAAACCTATCTAAGGAACTTGCGTAAATGTATGGCAGAATACGGACTGCGAGTACATTTTAACGATAAAACTCACTGTTACAAAACATAGGAAGTCGTGGAGAGGCATGATTGCTGACATCTTGAAGGGATTCAGTACTAGCTAAATACTGACCAGGCTCGATGTTACTTAATTTCGGTGGTCAAAAAGGAACTTGTGTTTTAACGTGATTTGGCCGTAAGCCGGTCTGTTTGATAATTTGGGTTAAGGTTTTTTTTGATGAGTAATTCCTATCAGCAATTCGTGAACAAGAATCATGAAGTTTAACTTTAAGTCTGTACAGGTGGAATTAGTTAAAGAAAATTGATAATTGAAAATGAAGTTTGATGAGCATCTCCTAACCCCAAATATTTCTGAAATTAATCTCTGACGATTGTTACCCTTTAACATTTGTCCGGTATTGGATAAAAATTCCTTGAATTCTATATGCCATTTTGAAATCATCTACAGGTGCGTAAAAGCATTTTCAATTATGGAATCCATTAAAAGCAAAACTAGTTCGTGATTGGCAAGTAAAAGTTTAAAGAACTCTCTGCTTTTCTAATTTAACTCCACATTAGCAGTTTCATAAAGCCGACTGATTTAGCATAAATGTAAGCACCTCCTAAAAAAAAAACAGGGAAAAAATACTTGAGGTTTAAAATGAATTTTTACAAATGAAAAATCTTTCTTGAAACTTTTATTTTAGTCTTAATTTCAAGCTAATAGATTAAATTTAATATTTCCAGTAATCAAAATAGTTTGCTGCATTTCAAAAACTAATTTAAAACTAATTTAATATGACAGGAAGGAGATTTTTTGGAAAACAGCCGAATAGCTCCCCTTTTTTAGTCATCCTTCATCTTAGTGTAATTCTCTTTACTAAAAAAAAAAAAAAAATTACAAAAATTAAAACATGCATTTGTAGAATATTAGCTTATTTAAAGTATAATTTATCTCATTTGAATGAAATATTTACTTTAAGTTTGATATATAGCAGAAATCATATTTTTGATATGACACTAGCTGATTTGACACGAGCAGATTTGACACTAGCTGATTTGACATTAGCTGATTTGACACTAACTGATTTGACACTAGCTGATTTGATACTAGCTGATTTGACACTAGCTGATTTGATACAAGCTGATTTGACACTAACTGATTTGACACTAGCTGATTTGATACTAGCAGATTTGACACTAGCTGATTTGACATAAGTTGATTTGACACTAACTGATTTGACACTAGCAGATTTGACACTAGCAGATTTGACACAAGCTGATTTGACGTGTTGACAGATTAATTGTTATCTGATGCTGTTCTACGGTGACGTTATCTGTAAAACATAATTTAATAACATTTTAATTGCTCAGTAATCTTAACATTTAGGAAAATATTCTCCGTAATCTAATGATTTATTGAATTTTAGAAATTTTGAATTTACCATAGTCACGATTTTATTTTCTGATAATGTCGTGTATGGTCACGCGTAATTACAAAAAAAAAAACGGTACGTTTATACTAATAAAAAAATTCAAAATTATTTTTAAAATATTGATGTTTGATGATTTGTTTTCCATTTATAATTAACAAATACAGTTTTCACTTAATGAACTGCTGAAATTAATACAGAATTTTAAAAGATATTTAATTTTGATTTAAATATATTAAAACAATAAAAACAATCCTTTTAAAAATTAATTATTCATCAAAAAAATTCTTAATTCTGAAATGTCCTTAATATATCTTATGTAAAATCAATTAAAAGCTTTTTTAATTAAATAATGCCTAAGTTTTATTGCATTTTTTATTTTACGATTCAGAACAGATTTCCGGTAAAAAAATTGACAAAAACAAATCGATGAGCTAAATTCTCCAAGGAATTGTTATAGACAAGCGTATGGTTGCAAGAAAGAAATACGACAACAGCAGAAATAGATTTACGTGGTTTATTTCAGTATGAACGTGTGGGCTTGGGACAGCTACCTTGTGGTATAGTTCATAACCCGGCAGCCGATCTGGGTTGATCTCTCATACTAGTTCTCACTGGTTGGCGTGGCGCTCCTCCTGCTGACTGCTGTTGACAGCCCAGACTGACCGTGACAGATCTCTTCCCTGGCCTCCTGTTGACTGCTAGTTCTTCCCCCTGTGACCCCTTTTATGGCGTTTTTTGTGGCTTAACAAGCTCGAAAAACGACGCGAGTATAATTAGGAGGGAAGCATCTTTATTGGTCGAAAAATAGAAACACTTTAAAATATTATTTTATTTTTCGACCGGAACTCGTGCGTCGAGCCTATGCGCAAACGACGATAATG